TGTTTACTTGTGTCTGGCTGAGACTGAAACAGAAGAGTCCTTCCTGGATTCTTTGAGGCAAACCTGGATTGAACAGATACTGAAGAGCTCCAAGGAATCAGGAGAGAATGTGTGGCCCTTCCTGAGCACCAGGATCTCACATTTCCACTACAACAGCATAGTGCTGCTCTCCCCAGAAATTTTTGGGGATTTCCAAGTAGGAGGTTCATAGGTGGTGTGTATCTGCTATGGCAAAGGCTTCCTTTTTCTCCACAGCTAACAAAAGGCTCTGTCAAGTTAACAGAAGGATGGAGATAAGTAGCACCAGGTATGTATCTAAATAAAGCAGGAGAAGAACTGTTACAGAGAAGGCAATACACAAAAGGGAGAGAAAGGAAGAGAAGCATCTGATTTTCAGCAGCTCCTCACAGGACCCTGTGGCTGTCCCATTCTTGCAGCTAAAAATGTGACTGCACTTCTCTGATGCTCCTGTCAGCCAGGAACAGAGAGGAAAGCACCATGAGGCCACATTTTCCCAAGTGTAAGACAGGAACAGGATGATTTATACCACTCAAGAAGCAGGCTTATGTCTTGCATTCCCTGCAGCACTTTTCACCCCAAAGGATGCCAAATGGCACATTTGTCCTGCCAGAGATGTCAAGAGCAACGGTTTCTGATGTTAAGGCTGTGGAAAGAGTATGGGAAAGACCTTTACCAAGAAATATTTCACTTCTGGCTCTAAAATTAGTGGATCCCCTTGGAGATGTGTTCTGTAATTCATATCTCTGCAGGGCCTGAGTTTTGCTGCCAGATGTGACGTGCTGAGATAATATGCCTGCATTTTTTTTTCCAGGGGTATGGAGAGGAATTTGGACTTTGTGATTCTTATATTTCTTTCTCTGGAGCAGTGGAGAGTCCTTGAATGCTCCTATTCCTGGCAGCTGTGAGGGACAGGAGCTGGAGAAGCTGCTTTTCTGATGGGAGGCCAACTAGCCATGAATTTAATAAATTACCTCTTCACCTGTCTGCAGTGCTGCCCTGCTCCTTAGAGGACCAGCTCTCTGAGAGATTCCCAGTCAAGGAACAGAACTTTTTCTTCCTTTCCATCAGACAGATTTTAAAAGGGGGGGAAAAATTCCACAAGCCATCTTAGCCCAGAAGTGGTGTCAGTTTGTCTCTCTGTCTGTCAGCTCTGGGGTGATGTGCTGGGCTTCCTGCTGGGATGGCACAGACAAAAGGCTGCTGTGGGAGGCATTTGGATAAAGGATCCCTGGTTCTTGCCAGCCTGTGTAACTCCAGATGATGTTTCCAGCCATTGTTGCTGGGAGTGTGTTTTTCTGTGGTTTTTTAAATTCTCACAAATGAAGAGGCTCATCAGTCTTCTCAGCATTGTGTGTCTGAGGAAGGAATGCTGGGAGCAGAGCATTCAGTGGGATGGGTGAATGTGAAGAGCTCGAGGAGCACAAAAGGCTGTGTGATGGCAGACTTGGTCTGCTCCACTCTGTTCGGGGAGGTTAAATATCACCCAGAGCTGTGGCCACAGGGAACAGCTCAAAAGCCAAGTTCTTACTTTGCTTACTGAAAGAACTAAAACAATTTCCAGCAACCAGAGCCTGTAACAGGGCCAGATTCAGAGGGGCCACCTCCCAGTGATTGCTCCAGGCAAGGACATTCCTGGTGTGTGGGCACTGGCTGGAGGAACCTGCCCATGGTCCCATTACCAAGTGGGAGAGGGGGAAATAATCCAGGCTGGACCCATGTCATCTGCTGGCCCTACACAGACCCAGGGCAGTTTCTTTACAGGGGCATGAGCTGGCTGGGGCTGGACACCAAGCACACAAATCAGCACTAATGAGAAGCTGACGGGGTTTGCAGTCCCTGCAGCTGCTCTGTGGACACTGAGCGGCCACTTGCTCATTCCACCATCAAAACCACTGTGTCTTTCCCTCCTGGAGCATTTCACCCCATGGAGAGAACAGACCAGTTGGCTCACAAAGCTGTTCCCTCACTCCTGGCACAGTTTACTGGGGCTTTGCTCTGTCACAGAACTCCAGGCGTTCTTGAAAGTGCCCCTGTATAACATGTGGGGACTTTGCTTTAACAAATGCTGTTGTCTCTGGCTGCTTGTTTAGTTTTTGAGAGAAAGTTTGGTGCAGAAGGGAAGAAACTAGCTGGAAAATGGCCAGTGAGTGTGGAATTATGGCAAGCTTGGGAGTTTCTATGCTATCAATTTCATTTGGTAAAAGCAAGACAAACAGCTGTGCAGAGTTTGCTCTTGTAATTTCTTCCCCTCCAAACTCCCAGCCTGAAAGCATTTGCTTCTGAAGGTGATTGCTGAACAGGGAGGGAGAAACAAGAACCTAAGGTTGCCAAGCCAAGCCCTTGCTAGCCCCAGGGCATGGCCACTGAGCTGCTGCATGCTGCAGACAATGTCATTCTTTTTCTCCCCCACTTATAACTCAGTTCTTGCATCATCAAATCATACTGTGAACATGTCCAAACACCCCCAGCTTTAGCAGCTTTATTCCACTGGCTTCCAATCAAACATTGGTTTTGGTAGGTTGTAGACATCATGAAAGACAAGTTTATCCTGCAGCTAAGATTCATTGATCTGTAGAACAGTTCTGTTCTTGAGCACATCTTGTGATGTTCTGTTCTGTAGACCAGAGACATGGGAGAGTGGAAAACACACAAGGCACAGGCAAGTAAACAAGATTTGGTACACAGCCCGGTGAAGAACGTGCACACAGAAAAGTTTATGGCACAGTTTAAATGCCAGCTTGCCAGCTGACACCCTCAACACACACAGTGTAGGATTTAACGACAATTAAGTTTGTTTACGAATTTTAAAAAAAACAAAAAACCAAATAAATAAAACCCCAAGCACCACTCCAGGCAAATTTGCCTTTTATATGTCCAGGATGTAATTAAGGATTAGTGAAGTGGATGCGGAATTAAATGGATACTGGAGCTCAAATAGGGCTGACAGAAAACCATCTTCACTCGATGATCCCAGGTGCAGTTTGCTTAAATAAAAAAGTCATCTTGTTTTTACAGTACTGAAGAATGGAAGAACTTCTGCTGCTGTGGGCATTGGTGCTGAGACTGGACACACCAGCAGTGCTGGGCTTGGAGTCTCTACACCATTAATGAAGCAGCATCTCCTGAGATTGCAGGTGGGGTTGCAGGCAGGACTGCAGAGAAGCATGCATTTGGAAAAGGATGCTTCCTGCCCAGGGAGCCCTGTGTATCCCAAGAATCTCACTTCTTACAGAGCTGTTTAAGAGATAGCTCTGATCTTGACCTCAGTTTTCACCAGGTCATCCCTGGAGGGTTCCAGTACATCCCCATTGCCCAATCTGACCTCATGCTTGGGCAGACCAGCCTGGTGGCTCCGTTGTGACAGACTGATCTCACTGGGGGTGGGTGGTGAGGAAATGATGCTCCAAGGAAGTGAAAGTCTGTACTCCAAGTGGGGGTTAGGTTTTCTTTTCTTACACCAAGAAGGTGAAAAGTCCTGTTTTGCATATATCAAGCCTGCTTTTGGCTAATGTGCTTGCATATGCTGACGTATGACCGGCCACACCAGGGAGCACAGGGCTGGGCATATCAATCAATACCACAGTAACATTACTCCATAAATTTCTCCATGGAGCAATTGACTCTGACTCATGACCCCAGCCCCCTGTGTTATCCTGGCAGGGAGGCACATAGCCCAACTCATCTTTACCCCAGCAGCACCCTGTCTGCACCCCCGATAACTGAACAGAGGGAGGGGGATTTTTGGTGCCACAGAGGTCCCACAGATTTTATGGATGCAATGTATTACATCTGAGCATCCAACATGCCAATGCAGAGTGACTCTGAAAGGCAGAGACACTCCTAACATGACTCATTGACACTGGAGACAGTGTGACTGTTATCTCAAAAAGCCTCATGGCTGTGCCTCAGGTGCTCCTGGGCATGGGTGGCAATCGTGAAAGTTAAACTTCATGTGATGTCTGTCCCCCTGGTTTTATGGAGAAGGGATGTGTTAACACCATGGGGAATTTTTATGCAGATTTTGTACAGGAGTCGCTGGGGACACTGGACACACCCCACAATGGTCCCTGGCTGAAGCACCCAGGTGCTTTGAAGCATTGGAAGGAGCAGTTCAGCTATCAAAAGCCACAGTTCATACAGATCTAAAGCCCTGAGGGACACCTAGACCTGGCCAGCTTTCCTGTTACTTGCCTTGTTTTTTAACAACCTATTTTGTTGTGAATTTTTTGGCACAGCTATTTATTACTGTATAACTACATCTCTTTTGGTTTAGCCTTCAATGTTTGTATGCCATTACTCTTACTAAGCCAAACTTAAATCTATCCTACAAGCAATCTTTAAAGCTGCTGCAGGGGGTTTGCCCCCCCCATCCTGCCTGGCACCAGCCAGTGTTGAGATTTACCCTCTAATTTTAGTCACTTGTGATTTGTGATTTTTAATAGGATTGCTATAGGCAACAACCAGATCAGGCCAAATCAATAATTTGAGAAAGCCAGATTAAAATAAAAGGGAATAGATTTTATTTCATGAATCAAAATACAAAATATGCCAGCCACAATCAAAGGGACAGCGTTGAGCCCGGGACTCGACCCTGGGTGAACACAGGTCTGACCCCTTCTCACCTCAGACCTGTGAAGTTTGATGAGCTGTGGTTATATACTGTTTCTCTTGCCCAAAGCTAGGTTTCCTTTGTTTCTTTCTCTTTCTTCAAATATTCATATGGTCCTCATCCCCTGTCCAGAGAATTCTATCTTTGAGTAGACAAAAAAGTGTCCAGGGAAGGATTTGAATATTCATGTAATCCCCTGTCCCCATCCGGTGTTGGAGAAATCCCGTCTCCTGCTCGGACAAAGCTGCCTTGGGACAAACAATGCCGTGTCCAGGAAATGACACATGTAAAACACGAGTTACGGGAACGGGGCATTCGCATCTCGTCGGTGTCGGCCGATGATGGCTTGGGCACTCCAAGGTTGACTCAGAATTTCTGTAGGAGCTATACCCTGAATTTCCACAGGAGCTATATCCTGAATTTCCACAGGAGCTATTCCCTTTGCTTGCTAATTTGGACTTTTATTCAGTGAACACCTGTGTGTGCTACAATCTAGTGAGGTAACCAGTTTCTCAACCCTTGTGTGAGATTTCTAAAAACCTGGGTGCTTTTTGTACAATATTCTAAAGCATGATTCGAGATATATATATATATATTCCTAAGTATGAATATATTTATTACATTTATTTGGGCACAAATTTGATACATTTATTACAAGATTGTTACTAGAAAAAATTCAAAGGTGTTAGTATAAAGGTGGTATCTTTTTACATATTACTAACATAACAAAACTACATCGTTCACAAAGAGGAATTAGGTAAGTTTTAAATTCAAGATTCTTTACCTCATATTCAAGACAAATCTTGAACTTTATCTGTAATGATTTTTTGAGACTTAACTCCACTGTCAGCATTGTTAAGTGCTTGCTTTTTACTCCATAGTTCTAACAAGGTAATTTTACTGTAAAGGTTTCAGTGCAGTTGTTTCCTTGAATGTTGTTTACTCTGATGTTTAACTGTTATATGACAAATAAGTTAATTCTTGTTAAGATTGATTTTTGTTTAGTCTCAGTGATGTTAACTTTAAGTTCTTTTACAGATACTTGATTAAGGTTAAGTTTTACTGAAGTTGATTTTAAGATTTTTTGAAGCATACATGTTTGAATTACAAGATATAATTCCTTTGCTATAAAAGTGAACGACATAAAGCCTGAATTTTTGTCAAAATTTGATCATTTAAATGACAAGATACAGCTTTTTTACTATAGCAATAAGAACAATTTTATTTTTAATAAATAATACTGAAGAATGAGAAACAATTCCAAATTATGACTGTAATTAGTTATGAGTTATTTAATGCTTTCTTTTACTTTTTTGCTTTAATGTCATATATGTCTAGAAAAATATAACCTCAATTTCTTAAGACAGTTTCTACTGATATATTAAGTAACCCTGATTATGTTGTTAATCTTGTGATGTGAATTCACTGACTTTTTATAACAAGCATTACTTTTTTATAACAGGCATTACATTTGCTATTTGTTTATGGTACCACTGACTAACTAACGATAAATGAGAAAGCTACTTCACAAACCTTCACTTATTGTTGTATAGCTATTTAGAAGACATATATTATTTTTCTAACTACTATTACTAAGAGATTTCTAAAATACATTAAAAAACCTCTTCCAGTTAAAAGGACCCTGGCCAAGTCCTGGCCTTAACTAGTAGAGAAAATTTTCTGCACCAAAATGATATTAAAATAATTTTGACTTACCAAATTTGGACCTTTTAAGGTGAACTTGGAAGTCTTACTCAGGAATGATTTTCCAAGCCCTCACTTTAAAAAATAAAGCTTGCCAATTACTACAGATCTAAGCAATAATACAATATTAAAGAAATTGATAAGGCATTGTTTTAAATCACCATTCTGTTTTTCAAATGCTACTTACTGTATCTATTACCTGATTTACCTTTACTTAATATAAGTTGATTGTTTTATTATATATTGTTATGCTTTTATGTTGCCTTCATGTTCATAATGAGAAACACACATGTTATTAAAAACCAAAACATTAGGGGGGAATATAGCTCCTTCAGAACTTTACACTAATATTTACACAAAAAATTAGGGGAAATATAGCTCCTCCAGAATTTTACACTAATATTTACACTAAAATATTTTTAAAGCAAACCAAATCATATTAAACTGGATCCTCTACCCTCCTGAAACATCATTGGTGGAACCCCAAGAACTAGAGTTCCTGGGTTCTGTGAAATTGCATTGTTATGTTAATTTTAAATACATGGGAAGAAATCAGTCTGAAGCTTGAGATGTTTCTCCCTATCATCCCGTGTATGAGAATCAAACCTTTTGGTACAATTACACTTCTGGCAGCCTTTCTAAATCCAGTAGTGCAGCTGCCATCAGAAATGTTTTTAGTTAATAAAGATCAAGCCTGAGCCTTTTAGTGGCTGGAGTTTTTAGCTAAAAGATTCTTTTTAGGATAGGTAGGTATGTGGTAATTTTGATAATAATTGTATTAATCATGATACCTTTCAGTGTGTGCAGAGATTAATTAAGAAGACCATTTAGTCAAAAGGGAAAGGGGAGTGCTGGAATGTTGGGGGACACAAGACAGATCATGGTCAACATAAGAGATTTGATAAGATGATACCTTGGCAAAAGCAAATGGAACTTTGAAAATTAGACCTAGATTGCAAGAAGATTAAATCAAACTGAAAGATCAAATCACCAGAAAAAGAAAATCCCATTAAACTCTGCAAGCAAGAGATGTTGTTATATGCATAAGTTTGTCTGTGCGATTTCAACCTAATCATTGTAGTACACATTACTGGTCTCCCTGAAACAGTACATAAACATTTGTGTCCCACAATAAAACCGGATTTTGATCACTGAGTCATCTCCCCGTGTCTGTCCATCGCTGCCAGCCCAGTCCTTCCACACACCCTGGTGAGGCGGTGCCTGGCCAGCGCCTCTGCCACCCACGGGCACCTCACCATGCGCTGCCCCAGGATAAGGCTCCCCAAAATTGCCAAAGCCCTGCTTTGCCTCATTGCTGTAACGCAGTTCTGCCTCTTCTTTGGTAATTCCAGATCTTTGTTTGACTTGGCGAAGACGAAGATTTTCAGGTAAGGCACCTGTTCCTTTGTGGCACTCTCTGCCCGGTGTGGGTGCTTGTGCTCGCTTTCTCTCTCTGTCTCTGTCTTTTTTACCCTGAAACTTGCACTTCTGATCCAAGTTAGGTGACCACTTTGCTTTAGCAGAACGTTCTGGTGGAAGATCCACAGTCAAAACCTGCCTCTTTTGGCTCACTGTTTTCCAGGGCTTTCTTTTGTAGCTGTGTAAAGCAGCTTTTGCTTCAGTAGTCCTACGTGTTTTCATACTTTGGCACTACACAGTATTTGCTTTTCCTGTTGGCTCCCAGAAGGACCTTATTCAGCCCTAATCCAGATTGTGTTGGTGGACGGTGAATTTGGTGGGATGGCTTTGAATTTACGGCAAGTTCAGCAGCTGATTCCTAACACAAAATGCGCTGCATGCTGCCACACCAATGTCATGTAGACACGATATATTGATATCTATTTTATATAAATGGTCAAGTAAATCCTACAGGAATGGGTTTGGAGGGAATTGCAGTGAAATGTCTCCAGCATCACTGGCAGGGAGCACTGCTCCTTGCATGAACCCGTGCAGGGATCTGAGCCTTTCCCAGTACAGGTATGGCTCATGGATGTGTTGGTAGATAAGAAGCACCACTCCCCAGCCTCCCCACCACCCTCACCTGGTCCCAGCTCTCCCAGGAAGCTCACATGGCTTGGCTGGGTTGGGTTGGTTCTCAGCTGAATGTCTGGGCTGGTGCTATGGGGGCAGGCAAGGGGAGTGAGGCTGGGAACATCTGCAGCTCTTCTGGAGGTGACTTGAGTTCAGCTCAGCTCTAGCAGCTTGAGACCTTGCTTTGAGGACAGCTGTCAGATTTGGAGAGGTTGGAACCTGCACAAGGGAGGTGGGAGGGAAAGGAGAGAAGGAGGAGGTGTAGAGAAGTGGAGCTCTCCTTGATCCCAGAGCCCATCAGTGGCAGAGCTGGAAAAAGTGGCTCTCCATATTTAGCTGCTTGAAGCCATCTCCTTCTACTGTAGTTTCAGAGAATGGAAATGCCTGTATTTGTACAACTTAAATAAAACATAACAAGATACGAGCTGTGTGTGGTTGTCTGTGTGGCAGTTCTATTTCTGTACCTTGTATGCCACGTAGAATACACAAAGCAGTATTTTCATGGCTTTATCCTCTATTTGTCCTTGGGCTTTGTAAAAGGGGAAGAAAATGACAGTAAATGTCATTGAGCTTCTGCAGTTGTTTGCCAGCTGGACTCTAGAGCCTGAAATTCACCGAGCTGCTTTGACAATTTATCTGGATTTAAAATGCTGTTCAGGAGAGCAGGGTCCTGTGTAAGCACAAGTGCCTGGCCATGTGGGCCTGACTGCAGGCAGCAAGTTTGGGATGTGAGGAGTCCTCGGTTTTACATTTTGGTCTCTGGCACAGCATTTGAAGTGTAACAGACTGAGGTGGAATCTGCCCTGCAAGACAGCTCTTAGGGAAAGCCTGGAGTGGAGGATGGTTTCTCATATTGAAACTCCTGTTTCATTTGTTCTCTACACTTTCATTTCGAAGTTTTAAACATCGTGTTAAAAATACAACAGAAGTTCTCCAAGGGATTTAAGATCTGCCTGAGCTACCTTACCAAATTTCTCTTTATTTAGAGTGTCCATATAAAATCTTTCCTCCTATTGGGCAGTAAACAGTGACAGTAAGTTTACACATGAAGCACTATGATAGAAAGAACATGTTGCACACTTGGTTGAAACTGGCTAATGATTATGAGAGAGGCAGAGCTGAAAGGCCATTTGCTACAAGCTTTTTTAGCCTTGGAAAGGTTCATGCATTTATCTGGTACGAAACGATTTTTAAAAGCCTCCTTAGCTGATCATTTCCTGAACGCTTTCAGAGTGGTATAACACCCATCAAATTTCAGCAGCAACTGAGCTGCTATCTGCAGCCTGTTATCTGCAGAAGTGCTTTTTGTCCCATTTGTCACTTCAGGAGCAGTCCGCAGCGTTCCGAAACAAGTGCGTCATGCAAAGGCTGAACGTGAGTGTGGGATCAGACTGCCACAGCCATGGTTTATCCTGAAAAGCTTTGCTGTACACAAAAGCTCAGCTGCAGATATTGTTCACCTTCCTTTTTCCTGTTCTACCCCCCAGCCATACTCAGAGAAGAGGGAATGTTTAGGACAAAACTCACCACCACTTCTGCCTTGATTTTTTTTTCTGGGTTTCAGCACAGTCATGTTGCAGGTGGCTCTTCTGCTGCTGGCAGATGTGTCCTCCTGTGACAACCTTGTACCTGCCTGTGCCTCTGAATCAGGCAACAGGGCAGCTGCAGTATTAGAGGCAAGTGCTAAAAATGTAGAGATTTTGCATTTTAATAGCTTCACAGTGTCTGCCTTCAGACACGTGCCTGGTGAGTGTGATGCCTTTGCATTACCTGACCAAGGCAGAAGAAAAGAGAAAGAAATGCCCTGTGGTCCCCAAAGCTCAAGAGGTGATGTAGGGTAAAGAAGTGAGTTTCACTTCTTCTCAGACTTCCCTTCCTGAGTTCTGGAAGATCTTCATGCTCTGCTGCTGAATCACAGGGCTCTGCTGGCAGAGGGGAGAGGCAGATGGCTGCTCCATGGTGGGGGCACGTCCTGAGCCCAGGATCTCCAAACCAACCCCGCAGTGCTCCGGGGACGTTGCCAGGGGGCCTGCCCAGTGCGTGGCAAACTGGGCTGTACTGGTTGGCTGTTCCTGCCAGTGAGAATGTTTCGTGTGCCAAGTGCTGAGGAGAGAATGTGTGTGCCTCTGGGATTTGCCTGCTGGGGAGATAAGCGATATTCAGGCTAGAATGGTGCAGGAAGTTGAGTAACATTTTGGCAAAGTTTAAAATGAAATTGCTCTAAAGCACAGAGAGAGGCTGAGAGTCAAGAGCACTAGAAATGAGCGGAAGGGTGTTCAGTGTTAAGTGTGTGTGATGTATCTGCTTTTCCTTTGATTGCATGCAGGAAATTGAACATTTTCCAACATGACCCAGAGACAGAACAAGTGGACCCCCAAGAGCAACAGGGTTTAAACTATTCTGATAATAATGGGAACTCCAGCAGCATTTTAAAGGTGACTTTGGGAGGACACATCATAACACTCAAAGATGTGGTGGAGAAGACACCAAGATGGACAGGAAAGGAGGAGCAGAAGGAAAAAGTGAAACCAGTTATGAGCGTTAAGGAAGCAAAGGAGAACATGGCTGTGAAACCACCACCCCAGCTGGAGGGAATCAAGAAGACAACAGTGAATACAACCCCTATGGTGCAGGGAAACAAGGGTAAAACAACAGTGAGGCCAACTCCATGGGTGGAAGAAGCCAAGGAAAAGACAACAGTGAAACCACTTCCCAGGGAGAAGGGAGGCAAGGAGAAGACAACAGTGAAACCATCCTCAGGGGTGAAGGGAGCACATGAGAACAGCACAACCACAGACCAAGCAAAACCCAAAGCACCTCCTGCATCAATGAAAACTGTAAGACCTGCTCCTCAGGCTGCTGTGACACAGAAGAGGAAACTGAGCTCTGCTAACTTCACATCTGAGCCAAAGTGGGACTTTGAGGATCAGTACCTGCTGGATAACTCATCCCCACCCTCGGTAGGTGGGGTGGTGCAGATGGTCACCAGGAACGGTGCCTCCCCACTGACCTCCCTGTCTGCTGCCCCGGGCATGTGTGCCCTTTGCAGCTGGGGATGATTTCAGAGCTGGTAGGGCACTCACTGGTATATGCAGATGTTGCTGGGAACCCAGACAACAAGACCCCTATATACAACATCTGCATTCAGATGAAGACACAGGTTAATTAAATTTGAGCATCTCTTAATTACTAATATCCAGGAACAGGGCCTTTAGGAAAGTAGTAAACTCCAGCAAAGTTCTCAGCAAGCAGCTGGGAGAGGTTGTGGTGTCTCATACTGTCTCTGGCCCCCATCCTATGCTGGTAAGTCTTTGTAAAGCTTACCCAGAGCAGTTTTCCCTGGCACCCTTGTTTCTGGAAGGCTTGAACAGGTGGGTCAGATGTTGTGTCTCACTCCCAGACCTGATCTGTAATTCTGCAGAGAGAGGGAGTCATTAGGAACACTCTCCCTCCTTAATTTCCTGCATGATCAGAGTTTTCCCTTGTTTCTATGGTACTGATCCCATCCAGCTCTGGAGGCACAAGTACCAAGCCTTGGACAGTACCTGCTTGAGCAGGACAGGGATGTCCCTGTTTCTGGACATGAAATAGGCTGTGAGTGAAATGATGCCATCATGAAGCCCTTGACAGTGCTGTGCTCAGTGTGCTCCTGTGGTGACAGGCAGAATGAGGGCTGTCTCCTCAGGCTGTGACAGGGCTGTTGTCCTCATGCCCATCCTCATGCACAGCTCAGCCATGGAGCACTCAGCAGGGCTTTGGCAATGCAGGGGATTTGAGCTGGGCACGAGGGTCCATTTGGTCTCTATTTTGTCTTTCAGTCTTTGTCTTCCTTGGGGAAGGTGTCTAAGAAAGCAGAGCTCAAATTGACTCAGCAGAAAATTCAGTGTAGTGGAGCTGTTTGCTTTCCATCTGCACACACAGCCTCACTCTTGCCAGCTGCAGTGAGACCTCCCTTGTAGGATAAGCTGGCTTGGATTCCCTTCTCAGCTGCACATTTCACTGATTTATTTATGACATTGAACAAGTTGTTGCACATTTTTTCTTACCCTTAAAGGGAGTGGCAATGCTGATCTGGTTTCATTTGTTCATCAGTGTTTCCTTGGGTGGACTCTTAGGACCTTGTGAGGTGCATTGCCAACAGGGACTGCTCATTGTAGCATGTATATGTTATTGCAGCATATTCCTAGTGCTGACAGCTTTATTTGATGCATTTAGGTTAGACCTATTACAAATGTCAATTTGCATCAGCTAATGGGGCCCAAAGCCAGTAAAACATTTAAAACAGTAAAATATTTTAAACAGTGAAACATTCAAAACATTTAAAATATTTGAAACATTTGAAACAGTAAAACAGGCCTGTTGTTCTGAAGAGGAAAGTCTCAGAGGCTTGGAGTCATCCTGGCTCCCTTGTAGGTGACTTTTCACCAGCTGGTTATGGATGTAGGGCTAAAATTGTGTTTCATGTTCTGGTGGTGGGGATCATGAGGGGAATGGTACCACTGGAGTTTCTGTGTTTCCCTTTGGTCCTGCCACAGGCAGGAACACAGGCACTGGCACACAGTCAGGTTTATCACCTCTGCTCATCAGTCATTACTGTTTTTCCTTTTTGCTTTTCAAGACCTGCTCTGAATCAGTGAGGGCCAGGGCTGCCAAGTCTGCCTGGCTGCGGGATCTTTTCCTGCCCAACATCACACTCTTCATGGACCAGAGATACTTCAGTGACAGTGAATGGAACCGCCTGGAGCATTTTATACCCCCCTATGGCTTCATGGACCTGAATTATTCACGTGAGTCCCTCAGGGCTTGTCAGGATGGGAATTTCAGACTCCTAACAGGAACCTTATCCTGAGTAGCTGGAGGTTTGCAGCATCTCCCCATCAAAGGCATCAGTCTAGGAGGATCTCATGGTGGAAACTCTGGTGGTTTCACTGTGACCATCCCAAGGCTCTTGATAACTCACCACTGTGTTTGCTTCACAGTGGTAAAGGAGGTCATATCCCTGCTGCCCCCAAAGCCCCACCAGCAGCTGCTCCTGGCCAACCATGACAGCAGCATGCCCACGTGCATCAGCTGTGCTGTTGTGGGGAATGGAGGAATTCTGAATAACTCTGGGATGGGCCAGGAGATTGACTCCCATGACTATGTCTTCAGGTAAGGCTGCTTTCCTTCTCAGAAGATGCACAGCTAGCTTACTGTGGCTTGCCCCTAACTGTGGCTGGAGCACTTCATCTCTTCTAGTATTCCACTCATTCCCAAGTGCCAAAATGATGGCTGGCAGGAGATAAAAAGTCCAAAAATAATTGGAAAGTTACTCAATATCCAAAGCCTGTGGTCACAAAGAGCCATCTCCACAGCTGGGGCTCTCCTGCAGAATGGGCTAGTCTACCCTTCCTCCAGGCTAACCTGTCTTTTCCTATTAGGAATGTGCATGGGAGGGGTTTCAGTGGTCACCTAACTCTGCTCCTCTGTTTGATTTCCTTTGCCAGGGTCAGCGGGGCTGTAATCAAGGGTTATGAAAAAGATGTGGGAACAAAAACCTCCTTCTATGGATTCACGGCCTTCTCCCTGGTTTCCTCTCTTCAGATCTTGGGACACAGAGGGTTCAGCAGGATCCCGTGGGATGAAGTGAGTGAGGTCCTGCTGTGTGCACGCACAGCTTTAGCAGGATGCTGTTTGTGTGTGTGCTTCAGTTCTGCTCTTGCCACGAGGAGCAAAGGGGCTGAGGCAGCCCTTTAGCATTATCCCCAGGAGGGAACCAGCCCTGCCTTGGCTCACTGTGAGTGTTTGCACTGGCAAGTTGTGTCATTGCCACCCAGCCTTGTGTCACCTTTGAGCCAGGAATGGGAGTGAAGGCGACACATGAACTCTCTTCAGCAGGCTGATTCAAGTTTATTAGAAACTCATTCTCTTTATATACTGTTCTGATACAGGTGGACTTGATTGGTCACTTAATTAACACCCCTTCACACCATTGGCTAATTAAGAAGACACCCTTTGGTAAACATCTTACGAGAAAACAGCTGTTCAAAACACCAGCTCCACTATTTTAATTCTTTCTCTCAGCCTTCTCAAAGCACTATTTTAATTCTTTCTCTCTGTCACATCCACAGCCTTGTGGCATGTAGAAGGAGCTGCACCTCAGAGGTTTTCTCTATTTTGTTGCTGTGGGCTGGTTGAGAGCTGCAGACTGAAGATGTGTGCCCAAGGAACTCAGTGACCCCAGACGTCTGCTTGCATTTTTTTGGAAGCGCTGTTCACTAATACTCACTTATTTTCTTAGCACGTCAGATACATTCACTTCCTGGAGGGAGCAAGAGACTATGAGTGGCTGAAGGCTCTTCTGCTGAACAAGCACATCAGGAAAGGATTCTTGAACCTTGGCAGGTAAAACAAACTAGAGCCCCCTCCACCCCTCCAGTGACGAGCTCTCTCTTGGGCTCTTTTCCTCTCCCAGTGCTCAGCCCTGTGGAGGACCAGGCTGGTAAAGCCTCCCTCCCCTGGCAGACAGAAATCTCTAATTTTCACAGCTGTGAGCGTGGTCAATACACCTCCATCACACATTTCAATGATGTGTGGCCAGAGCTTCGAGAAAGCTTTGTGGTTTTTGGGGATGAACACACGCTGCTGGCTGGTCTGGTGTGGCCTGCTCGTGGATGAAGGCCTGGTTTCACTAATTTTTGCCTATACAAACACATGCTTTTGATATTCCTGTCTCCTTTTGTTGCCTCTCCTCCCTGAGCTCTTCCTCTGCAATGCACACAGGCTATGGAGGCTTTGTCGTAATGTGGGAAATGTTACAGAATATTTTCACAGTGTTTGTGGTCCTCCTCTCAGCACCAAGTGCACCAGGGCTGATCCTTTGCAGCTGTGATGAGGTGTAGGAGATTGTTTTGGGTCTCTCCATTCCTGTCCTTAGGCAGAAGCCCCGGCAGAAATTCGATGAAGCTTTCACAATGGACAAATACCTGGTGGTTCACCCTGATTTCCTCAGATACATGAAAAACAGGTGAGCTGTGGGCTGGGTGCTCTAACAGGCTTGTTTTTCCTGGCCAGCACCATCTCTCTCTGTCTCTGGCCTCTCCTCCCAGCTGCCTCCCCTGTTCCCACAGTTCAGCCACACCAGCAGAGCTCAGCTGGAACTCTCTGGTGCTGCAGTGGGGTGCTAGTGCTGGGTAAACATCCAGAACTTGTGAGCTGGAGAAGCAACAGCCATCAGACTGCTTGGTTTTCTGCATCCCAAAGAGACCCAGGGCCAATTGCAACTTTAGGTGTAGGAAGAATGCTGCTGAAGTGCCAGGATAGTTGATCTCTAGTTCAGGGCTGGCCTTTCATGTTCCCCATTGCTTGGCACCTTGGAGGAGGGCTCTGTAACAGATTTTCTCTCCAGAGATTCCTTTTAGGCTCTGGAGGTTGGTTATGCCCTCAAGCACAACAGGCTCTTCTGCAGCATCCCCTTTGCCTGGCCTGGCTGCTGCTCTTCTGTGCCTGTCCAGCCCTTTCCACAAGCCTGCTGGCCACTGTCACCATGAGATCTGCCCATCGTGGGCCACACATGGCTGAGAGATGGAGGAACAGGAGCTCCTGTGGTGCCCTGCTTTGGCTGCCTTTGCCCTTCAGTGTCCTTGAGAGCTGCTGCCTTGGCTGGAGCCAGATGGCCAGCCCTGCCTGCCTGCTCTGCCGTCCCCCCTCTCACCTGGGGCCTTTCCAAGGCCAAGAGGACTCCATGCTGGTTTTTCCCAGTCTTTACTCCTGCTTTCCTAACAGCTCCTGGCATGACACAGTGCAGCTCCTGGCAGGTTTTGTGACACTCCTCTGCAGCTCCCCTGTGTCTCTTTTCACTCCTAGATGTGGGACATACCCACAGCTCCTGGCAGGTTTTGTGACATTCCTCTGCAGCTCCCCTGTGTCTCTTTTCACTCCTAGATGTGGGTGGGGAGCAGGATGTACCAGGGAGCCCCAAATCCACCTCTGCACTGCGAAGCAAAGGGCAGAGTTAAGAGCAGTGGGCTTTAACCTATGAGATCCTTTAATGAATCCCCTCTTTACCCCCACTGCTTCAAGACCTGCCCCTTCCACAAAGCTGGGCCTAGGTGGCAGTGCAGGTGGTGGAGAGTTCTGGGCACACTCGTGGCTTCTCTGAAATGCCTCAGGTGGCCCCAAGCTGCTGCAAGGAGGGAAGAGGCCACAGGAGCCACAGGGAGACAAAGGGTGTCCTGCTTGAAACACCACAGCCAGCAACTCCTCAGTGCTCTCCTCTCTCCTGCTGCAGGTTTTTAAAGTCCAAAAATTTGGAAAAGCACTACTGGAGGCTGTACAGACCCACAACAGGGGCCTTCCTGCTGCTGACTGCCCTCCATCTCTGTGACAGGGTAAGGGTACAGTGGTTCTTGCACCCAGAACTGTCTGGGAGTGGGGACAGGGGACACAGGAGAGCAGGGGTGGCTGCTGTCTGCCTCCAGAGTGTATGGGCTCGTGTCAGCTGTGGAGGAGCAGACTGAAGGTGAGAAACAGCCCCAAAATGGATCCCACAGAGATGGTGAAGCCTGCTGTGACCTAGAGCACACGAACCCCCAGGGAGGCAGTGAGGGGACAGCAGGATCTCTGGAGCCAGTGCTCACAGGCTGGTCCTTCTGGACCCCCACACAGGGTCACCAGAGAAGCCCCAGCTGGCATCTCTGTCCTGTGTTTCACTTGCTCCCTCCACCCCTGGTGAGCCCTGCATGTTTCCCAGGTCAGTGCCTATGGCTACATCACGGAGGGGCACGAGAAGTACTCGGATCACTACTATGACAAGGACTGGAAAAAGCTGATTTTCTACATTAACCATGACTTCAACCTGGAGAAACAGGTGTGGAAAAGGCTTCATGATGAGAATATCATGAAACTTTACCTGAGAACCTGACTGCAGCAAGGGCCAGTTTGCCTGGGCAATCTCAACAACACCTCACTGGGAACAGAAGACAACCACCAGAGCCAAGGTTAGCTCTGGACTGCCAGGCACATTTCATCCCCACAAAGACATTTCCCTCCTTCAGCACCTCTCTTATTTCACTTCAACAAATGTATGAATGCTGCAGACCCAAAGACCAACAGGAAAATGCAGCCTGCCAACAAAGTGCCACCTGGCTGTGCTGCAGGACTCCTGCTGGTTGTTGTAGGCATGGGTATTGTGAGAGCACAATCCAGGTTATGCTCCTTGGTGTAATTCAGGTTTTCTCTCTGCAAGGAGATGCTCCTCAGGCTGGGGCCACTGCTCTTCTGGGTGGATCCTCTCCATTAGCAATGCCCATTTTGGAGCTGGGTATTGTCTAAACAAACTCCCTGGGGAGCTGGAATGGATGGAGGTGGAAAGACAGATTTTGTTTCAGGTTGATTTAATTTCTTGATGGGGAGGGCTGCACTCACTCTGCTCCCTGCAGATAAAAAGGATGGACTGGACACATCCAGGTGACTAATTTGAGAGAATGGGTTTCACTTCTGCTACCCTGTGTGGCCTTGCTACGACACTTCCAGAGGAGCAGTGCCATCAACTCCAGGGCAGGTAGCTGCTCTCCATGGTGCAGCAGACCTCCTGTACCTCTGCCTCTTGCCCCAGGGCTCCCCTGGCTGCACAAAATGTGAATTTTGTGGCATGGACCTGATGTGCCAAGTCCTTGCATAGCTGGACTTGGTCACGCTTGGCTCCCAGCTGTGCCCAGGGCGCTGTGTTTGTCCTGTTGGGAGGAGAGGTGGAAGCTCTCCAAGGCCAGGGATGGATGCCATGTGTCCTTGCTGCTGGCTGAAGTGCCTGTCCCCCGTGGTGCTGAGAGGGGCCCAGCTGCAGCCAGCACACCTGGAGCGTGCTGGCCTCCTGGAAGGGGTTTTGTAAGTAAAATAAATGGCAATACTTTGGCCAAGCTGATCTTTCGTGCAGCCCTGTGGGTTGTGGTTATTTAGTGCACCCAGAATTGATGTTTAATGGCTGAGATACAACAGATGGCAAAGCCAGGAGAGTACAGGACTGAGGGACAATGAGGTTATCTTATTTGGAGAAGCTCTGCAGCTTGTGTGGACACACCTGAGCATCCCCCAGCTGTTCACCTTGCAGGACAGGGATCAGCACCAGCCAAACACCTCCCTGAGGAAGTGGGTGAACACCTGGCAAGTTTGCCCTAGTCCCAGCAACTGCTCTCCAAGTGCATCAGATATTCAAGGAAAATGCACGAAGGGCTGGCTGTTTCCCCCATGACACTGTGGAAAAACACAAAGCCACCTCCAGTGTCCCAGCAGGTGCAGAGCCTGTCCCTGGGGTTAACCAGCTGCACACTCACCAGACCTGCTTGGCTGTGAGTGTTTTTCCATTTCTGCAGCGTTTTTGTGGGGGGCAGCAGTGTCTCCAGGGACTCTCTGGGCTCCAAGGAAGGCATTTCAGCCGGGATTGTCAGCAGGGTTGGTCAGGCTTGATTTCCTTTCCCCCTTTTTGCTTGTGCTGCAGAGAGGCCGGGCAGTTTCTCATGTCTCACTGAGCTTGTTTGTGAAGGACAGCCGCCCACAGTGAGAATCAAAATGCAGAATTCAGCTTCTCTGGAGAGGCTGTAGCCTGTGCCTGGCTGCTGTGCACATCAGGAGCCCGTGGGAGCAGCGAGCTGTCCGAAAGGCACGGTGCCTCTGCTGGGAGTGATGCAGCCCTGTGGGAATGCCAGGCAGAGCAGAAATCCTTCCTGAGCAGCAAACAGGGAGGCCTGAGTGAGGCTGGTCACCACCCAGAGCTGCCTGAGGAGGAACTCCTGCAGCCAGGAGCTCCGGACCTGCTGGATGCCTCAGCCCCTCGTGGTGGCCGTGCACGCTGTCCCCAGGTGGCCCTGGTGGCGTGGCTGTCCCCAGGCCCTGCAGGCTCTCCCTGGTGGGCTGTGGGTGGGCAGTGAGGCAGTTTTGCTCCTTGCCTGTCCCTCAGGCCACACCACATTGCTGTGGGTTGCTTAGTGACCGGCTCCACCGGGCATTCTTCCTGCCTGAATAGGGCTTTTCTCTTCCCCAGAAGTTGGAAGAAGTTTCTCTTAGACCTTTCCCTCCCCCCCTCCTCCTCTTTTGTTCCTCTGTCCTTTGGGAAGCAGGAAGGGGCTGAGTCCCACTGAGCAAGGATTCCCCAGTGGGTGAGGGGGCTTTGGGATGGGCTGGCAGCCCCCAGCCCACGCTTTTCCCTGGTGTGGAGGCAAGGGAAGGAAATTCCCGGGAGGATTTCCCCAGAGCCTGTTTCCTCCAGGCTTTTCTCAGAGCACAGCTGAGTTTGATGTTATCAGGGATAATCTTGGCTGGAGCCTTTGTTGTGGCCTGAAGTTTCCCAGAAAGCTCAAAGCCACATCCTTCCTGGTGCCAGGAAAGCAGCTCTTTGATGGTCCCCGTCACCTCCTCACTTGGCTCCTATCCCCCTGCACCGAGGCATCCCGTCCCACTGTGGGCTGGCTGAGGACACATCCCCTGGGGCACAAGTCCAGCTGTGCCCCACCAGAGCCACCTGATCTTGTGGCATCGGCTCCAGCGTGGCCACAGGAAGCTGGGCAGGGTTGGAGGTGGCATTTCCCTGCCAGCTTCCAGCCTGGCACAAATGGAACAAAGCCTGTGGAGAGCAGCTACAGCTGCAGCAGCCTTGGCAAGAGCCAGGATTCAGGATTGCAAGAGTGTCCCAGGGTGAAAGCAGCACTGCAGGGCTGTGCTGCAGCAGCCCCAGCCTGCTCAGTGACCCTGAAATCCAGGTCCGCGTGGCTGGCACGACATCAAGATTGTCCCTGTGCCACCAGGTGGCAGCTGCTGTTCGGGGATCTGTCTTTGTGCAGGTCTGGCACATCCAGGTGTGCCACGGTGTCCCGGTGCTGGGCACAGCCCTGCAGCTCCCTGGGGAGTGGGGGGACACACGGAGCAGTCGGGGACACACGGAGCAGAGTTTGGAGCCTTGCAGTCACAGGCTGAGTGCAAAGCTGTGGCCTCTGCTCCTGCAGCATGGCGTGGAGCTGAAGGCTGCACGAGCAGAGGGGTTGATGGTGGGATCAGGTCTGACATCCCAAGAGATGCTCAGATACAGCCACTCCTCCTCCTGCACGGACACAGTACCCAGTGCCAGCCGCCAGTGGATTCCCCGCTGCCAGCAGGAGCTCTGGGGGCTGCAGGATTTAGACAGAGACATTTCATTTGGGGGATAAATAAACCGTGTGCCTCAGCATGTCCAGAAGTTGCTGTTTTGTCAGCCCTGCTATTTTCAAAAGCTCTTGGTGAGTACCATGAACTGTTATTACAGCTGTGCCAGACTCCTCCTGGGGCTCCTCAGGAGTTAACAGCCTTTAAATATTCCCCACCAGACTGTAGAAACCAAAACCAGTTGTCACCCAGAAGCTCTCAGGGTGTCACCTTCCTGGCAGGGATTCAAATTTATTGCTTCATTTCCACCTCTTCCCTCTTTCAGTGTGACTGCCCACCTGTAGAGCAGCAGCAGAGCCCACCCTGTCCTGCTGTGTGTCCACAGCTCCTTGACTGCAGATGGAGCAGGAGGAAGCAGACACGGGCTTGCTGGGGGACAGGGATGCATTTTGGGGACAAGTGAGTGGTGCAAAGCCCATCTGGTCCCTGCTCCTGGTCGGTGCAGCCCTGCTCTCTGGATCCACTCTGGGTTTGGCCCTGCCAGGAGCAGGGACAGGGTGGGCTCTGCACCATGTCCTGGGGTCTGAGGTACCTTCTAAAGGTGGCAGCCAACCCCAAACCCAACCAGGCGCTGGAGGGAGCCACTGTGTGTGCCACACACAGCTCCAGGGCAGCCTCGTGCCAAGGTGGCACATCCATATTGTCACTCCTGCCTCAGGGAGGGAACAGGGGCACAGAGCAGCCAGAGTTTTAGAAAACAGAAAATAATCTAGATGTCTTTATCCTTGCTAAATGAATGCATGTGTTGAGATTGTTTGTTTATTGGCTGTTTTCAGGGTTTAAATGCCACTTATTATATTCCCATCAATGAGAATGAAGGTTGCTCAGCACCTTCAATAGAACTTCTCTTTTTCTACATACTTTAGAAAAAGAGTGTATGCAAAATAGAAAAATAACTTTCTGCATCATAGGGTGATACATTTATTCAGCAAGGTGATGATTTCTCTCTCATAACCTTTAAACTACTTTAGAACCATGTTTTTCATGTTTCATTTTGCAAAACAGCACCCAGCTTCCCAGCCTGGACTTGCTCCCTCTGGATGTGTTGCTCTCCAGCCTCTGTGGCTGGTGGATGCTGTGGGAGTGTGGCAGAGCTGCGTGCCTGCTCCAGGTCAGCACTAAAAGCTCTGTGCTGGGGACTCAGCAGGTGCTGTTGATGTTCTCCAGTTGCTGAGAGGTTTGGGGCAAGCCTTGGGGGCAAAACGTGGGAGGTTTCCCCTCCTTGCCTCCTCTGTGTGGACCTTCTCCCTTTCTTGGGGATGTGGTAGCAGGTAAATCCAGTTGGACCAGAAAAACTATTGATAATAGGGGAGGGAGAACAAGATAAAGGAGCAGCCCTTGGCTTTGTTGTGGAAAAAGCACCAGCTGACCTGCCAGGAGCCCTCAGCTCCAGGTGCTGGAGCAGGGCCCTGCAGGTAAACAGCTCCAGGGGGTGCAGCAGGGCTCCTCTGCCAGGCTGAGCAACAGGACCTTGGGTGCTGCAGGGCTTCCCCAGCTTGGCCTGGCCAGCCCTTGGGGTGGGAAATTCTGGAAAGACACGTCCTGAGCCCTGGGGACATCCCAAGGCTCCCTCCATCCCTCCCCTGGCAGCCGTGCAGTGTCAGATGGGACCACACGGGAGGGTGGGCGAGGGGCTGGGTCACCCACCCACACCCAGACATGGTGTCCCCTCTCCCCAGCTTTGGGGACAGAGCCTGGCCTGACCCCAGGGACACGTGGCTTTGAGATTCCAGGGCAGGATCAGCTGATATCTGCTCTGCTTGGCCCAGAGATGACATCTTGGTCCAAGATGCCTTCTTGGTTGCCCAGGAAGGGGGAAGGCAGTGGTTTGCATCGTCACCCTCATTTCTCAGAGGTGTTTCTCATCTCTGCACCCCTCCTGGCATAGCTCAGAGCCTCCAGGCTGCCTCATGCCAGTGGAGAGGGGATGGCTTTTGAACTGTGTTTGAATTTTTGAGCCCTGCTCAGTGGTCCAGGGCTGGCCAAGGGCTCTGCCATGCTCAGGCACCTGGGCCAGCAGGGCCAAGGGGAGAGAGCCAACACGAGCCAGCCCAAGCCACATGCTGCCACTGCTCCTGAGGTCCCGACCTGCCACCTCAGCCCATGGCTCACCCCAAGAACCTTCCTGCTTTGGGGAAGAGCAGGAGGGGACTATGGGGTGCCACACTGGCACAAAGATCACAGAGTCACAGAATCCCTTTGGCTGGAAAAGGCCTCTGACATCACTGATTCCAACCTTTGCCAACCAGACCATGGCACTGAGTGCCACATCCAGCTTTTCCTCAAACCCCTTCAGGGACGGTGACTCCACTGCCCATTCCAATGCCTGACAACCCTTTCTGAGAAGAAATTCCTCCTAATGTCCAGCCTAGACCTCCCCTAGCTCAGGTCTATGTCCTCTCATCCTGTCACTGGTTGCCAGGGAGAAGATCCCCAGCTGGCTACACTATGGACTATGTCCTCTCATCCTGTCACTGGTTGCCAGGGAGAAGATCCCCAGCTGGCTACACCCAGGGACTTGTAGAGAGTGACAAAGCCTCCTCCAGGCTGAACAACTCCAGCTCCCTCAGCTTCTCCTCATGGGATGTGTGCTCCATACCCTTCACCAGCTTTGTTGCCCTTCTCTGAGCAGTTTTGCTGCACCCCCTGAGCCTCTTTCCCCCCCTGCAGCCTGGGGCTGTGGGCAGGAGGGCAGAGCCCAGCCCTGAGCATCTCTGATCCTGCAGCCAGCGTCCTGCTGCCACCCTGCTGTCACCCTGCTGTCACCCTGCTGCCACCCTGCTGCCAGCTGGTGCTGCAGCCAGAACCCTGCTGCCACCCTGCTGTCACCCTGCTGCCACCCTGCTGCCACCCCCATCTCCAGGCATCCTCTGTGTGGTCACTTCTCCTGCCCTTGGTTGTAGAAACACCTACAAATCCAACACAAAGCTGAGCAGAGTGTGGGGAATTCCCTGACCCGTTGCCCCCGGGCCAGGGGAGCTGTGGCCGAGCTGCTCCCGCTGCCCTGCAGGCAGGGCCCTGCGTCACCTCCCGGGACATCTGCTGATGAATTCTTCATGCTGCCACGCAGCAGCCATATGGCCCCCGTTCTCGGGGCTGACACAGCTCTGCCTTTCAGGGACCTGCTCGGCGAGCAGGTTTTTGGCACTAGCTTAAATGTACCTCTGACCCGTGCTGAATGAATTTGGATGTGTAAATCCTCCAGGAGATTTTTGGAGATCTCATTCTCCCACCTGCACAGTTCATCATGGCAAAGACCATGAGATTTTTCCTCTACCAACCTGTGGCTGGCAGCCAGCTGGTGCAAAATATGTTTATTCTCCTCTTGTGCTCTCTAGCCACGGGGAGGGATTGGGCTCTGTTTCCAAGTAATCACTGGAATAAAAAGCCCAGGCTAAAAATGACACTTTTTGGTTTCCATTGTAATTTCTTTTATGTTCTTTTCCTAATCTTTATTTGGCAACTACCATCCTAAAAGGTTTTTCACACTTATTTAACTTCTAAATTAAGCACCACTTAATTTTGGGGCATAGTCCAAAATGCATTGTAGCACAAAACAAGTAGAGCAGATGAAGAACTGTGCATCTCATTTTCACCCTGCTGAAAATAAAACCAACAGTAGAAAACCACATATCATGGAAACAGTGAGATGTGAAGAAACCAGCTCCTCCAGCCCTTGAAGCTGCCACTCCACCAGCATTTGCATGATTGGGCCATAAATGTTTCCAAATGGCAAATTCCTCACTTTCCCCAGGTCCATTTCCCCTGGATCATTGGTCATCCATCTGGAGCCAAGCCTTGCTGTGTCCCTTGTGATTTTCTCGAGCAGTTGGTAATAATTAGCTGTGGTTAACGAAGGGCCAGAGTCAGGAGCACGCGAGCCAAGGCACCGGATCAGAGGGAGCACATCCAGCAGCGTGCAAGGCAGACCCGGGGTCACACAGGGTGGGGACAGCTCCAGGCTGGGGCACTCTGAGCAGGACACCACACTCAGCCGTGAGCTGGCTCTGAGACTTCCAGAAAATGCCTGTACCCCGAGGGCTGGGAGCAGCTTTTGGTGAGAGAGGCAGAAAGCATCAAACCCCTCCACTGATGCACCCCCATTTCTCTGAGCTGCCTTCTGCTGCTGGGGTACATGTGACCCCCTCTTCCTGCCTGTTCTTCCACAGCTTTAGCTCCAGCTGGGCTTTAAGCTCGATCTCATCCCTCTGTGTCCAAGTGGCCGTGGTCTGTCCTGTCCTTCCAGCTGCTCTCTCCTTCCCTGGGACAGCCCGTGCCCAGCCAGCCCTCCTGCCACAGCTGCCCTGCACACAGCAGGGAGGGTTCCCTGCAAGTTTGCTTTGAAATCAGCCTGGTCCCCGTCCCTTTGTGGTGTCCCTGGGGCAGTGTCCTCTCTCCCAGTGGGACAAGGCCAGCAGTGGCAGCACTGCCAGCCTCAGGCACTGAGCTGCTCCTGTGTGTTCCTGGGCACTTTGTGGATGCCAACACGGTGCCATCCCCAACAGCCAAAATTCCCACAGGACCAGGGCTGGCAATGGAGGGATCTGGAGTAATGGAAGCAAGTGGAGATTGAAGCAAACTCCTGTTAAAATTTGTTTTGCTTTTATCTTCCTTTGAACCTGTCTAGGCAGGCTGGAAAGGAAGAGGGGAGTGGTTGGATCTGAGGGGATAAAGGAGAGTTGGGGGAAATGCAGGCACAGTGTGGCCAGGGACAGGGATAGGGTTTGGGCCCAGGTTTTGGGGCTGAATAATGCAAGAGGGTATTTGTGCAGGGGCTGGAGGTGTGTGAGAGCCTGGAACAACACGTGAGTGCTCAGGGAGCCACGGGCAAAGGGTTTGGATGGAGCAGGGCTCACCAAGTGCTGCTCCCTGCGTCTGGTGGCTTCCTAAAATCCAACCCCCCAAAACCCCTACAGCTCAACTGAAAAGGCTTGTCTGCCTGCTGAGTCCCTTCCCCCACTGCCACAAACATCTTGGTATGCATATCTTTCGGTTCACAGGCTGGTTCTTTCGGAGTTGAACTAAAATAACACCAAGATATTCTTTCAAAAAAGAAACTGGAGCACATCCTCTCCGAAAATACCAAAATAATTCATGCAATTTTCCCCCCAAACCCGTTTCTCCTTTCCTCCAACCCAAACTCTTTGTCGAGCTTGCCACAAAGCTCTGAAAGGTTTTGTTTGCTGCAAATGCAGGGGATCCATTCGGTCAGAACCCCAACCGTGTCCCCCCTCCTCTTGAGTGGCAGCACCCCATCAGTGTCCCCCTTTTTTCCCCCACATTTATCCCCCCTCCTGGCGGGTTCACTGGGTGGCTGCAACAGGGTGCTGCTGTCGGAGCCCCGACTTCAGAGCCTGCGGTTTCTGAGGAGCACAAAATAAGAATAATAACAAGAATGAGCGGATATGCTCGGGGGTGGCACCCGCCGGGTGTCCGTGCGGGTGCAGCCCAAACAGCCACGTGTGTGAGCCAGACAAGAAAGTTACAAAAAGGGGAACCCCTGCTTACTAGCAGTGGGTGGGTGGATGAAAAGGAAGTTAAAAAAATTAAAAGAAATAAAGAAAAAAGAAAAATTAAGGAAAAAAAAAAAAAGGAGAGAGAAAATTAGGGTTCCTTTCTGGTCTGGGTAAATGTTTAATCCCCAGCTCGGAGAAAATGCAGCTCAAAAGTGCTTTTTTTCTCAGCAAGTCTGAACCAGTCAGCCTGGTGCCTCCTCCCTCCGGTTCACACCCTCCCTCCCACCGCTCCGGAGGAATATCCCAGCCTGCTCCCAAGCGCGCCTGGGCACCGGGGGCAGGACGGAGCCAGCTCCCACCGGGCTGGGAGAGCCGAGGGACCGGGAACTTTGTGTGCCCGGGGCTGGCTGCCACCCTCCCGCGAGGCTCCGGGGGCTGCATCGGCCGGGATGGGGTCCCCGCACTGGAAAAGGCTTTGCCTTCTGCTCCTGGCAGGTTTAACATCCTCCCTGCTGCTCTACAGTCACTACCACGCCACGGTGGAGGTGCCCACCAGCCCGAGGATCATAGCCAGGTGAGGGGGGACGGGATGGGACAGCGAGGCGGGGATTGCAAATCCCGTGCGCTGGGATGGGGAATCGGGGTGCCAGTGTGGGCACCTCAGGGTTGGTGATCCCCGCTCTGCCCCGGCCGGTTCGGGAAACAGGCTGGCAGCAGGCTGTGCCCCTCTGAGTCCTGCCCACGGCCCCCAGCCGAGCCCAGCGCTGCCCGGAGCGGACCCAGCTGTGCCCCTCTGAGTCCTGGCACCGGCTGCTGCCCACGGCCCCCAGCCGAGCCCAGCGCTGCCCGGAGCGGACCCCAAGGCCATGGAGGGTCTGCAAGGGTCCCTGCATTGGGTTGGACCCCTCCAAGGGTTGAGCGCATCACAGTGCAGAGAAACCCCTGCGGAGTGGCTGGGTCCAGCCCCGATCCCACCGCGTGTTCCCGGCGGGCTGGTGCGGGACCCGAGCCCGCTGACGCAGAGAAACCCCTGCGGAGTGCAGGGACGGCTGGGGCTGGGTCCAGCCCCGATCCCACCGCGTGTTCCCGGCGGGCTGGTGCGGGACCCGAGCCCGCTGATGTCCCGGGGGAGGTTTGGCTCCCCACCGAGCCCCCCTTGCAGAGGCTGCCCCGGTCTGGGATCCCCGGGCTGCCCACGCCGCTCGCGAACTCGGGGCTGCAGCGTTTGCCAAACTCCAGCAATTTGCAACTCCGCCTTTGTCTGCTTTCCCTGCCTCCTCCAAACGTCCCGGAGCCCCTTCCCGAGCCTGCCCCGAGCCCAGGGCAGGGCTGCTGGGCTGCCCCGGGAGCGGGCAGGGGATGGAGCCCGCACGGTGCTCGGGCTGCGGGACCGGCTGCCCTGTCCCCTGCGAGCATCAGGTGCTGTGGGTGTCCCCACCCCTCCTCGTGGGTGCCTCTGGGTGCCATCGGCGTGACAGAGCCCCACCGGAACGGGGGATGCTGTGGGGAGCGGGGCCGGTCCTGCACAGGGTGGGATTTGCAGCGGGATTTGCTGAGGGTGCAGCCGGATGAGCTGCCCTGGGGTTCAGACCTGCTCTGTTCCCCAGCTGGGAGCTCTCCTTGCCCGATGCCAAAGGGAGAGGTCCCCTCTCCTGCCAGGCTGGTGGATCAGGGGTGTCTGCAGCAGCCCGGGCTGGCTGTTGGCTCCTTGCACCCTCACCGTGCTGGGTGTGCAGCCTTACCAAAAACTGCCCGGGGCAGCCACAGCTGCGGTGTGAGCAGCTCCCCACAAAGAGCTTGATGTCCACGGGAGGGGAAACTGAGGCCCTGAGGGCAGCAGAACGTGCCCATGGCCCACGCTGGAGCTGGGAATGGAAACCAGCCATGCCCTGACACAAGGTCTGTGGGTGTGGAGAAACCCATGGGATGGAAGCAGGGAGCAGGTTCCCCCCACCACAATCCAGCCTAACCCTGCCTGGACCTCCCACAGCCCCAGGTCACCTTCCTTGGAAAGCCAGCCCAGGCTCCAGCTCCTGCCTGATGGGACCAAGGGTCAGCTTGTCCAGCCCCAGAAAGGGGCCCAGGGGGAGGTAACTCAGAGCTGACCTGTGCTCCAAAGCTCTCCTGGACTCTCCTCTTGGCTTTAATTCAACTCCTAAAGCTAAACCCAAGCCAGAGTTCTGCCTGTTTGCTTCAATTCCCTGTCTTTACAGACGTGGCACTGCACGAGTGCTGCTCGTCCCAGCAGAGCTCTGTCCCTGCAGGAGCTGGTGCTGCCCTGCTGGCTGAGTCCAGAGCTGGAACTGGGCTGGCCATTTCACAAGGCTGAGGTGCCATCACAGAGCACTCATTTCCTACTCTGCAAGAAGGGACAGGAGGGTCAGAGTCCTCGCCTGTGGGTGCAGGTGACTCGGTTTCAGCAGCAGGTTTGTGTGAGCAGTGTCTCCATGCAGAGGGGCAGGGGGATGAAGGGGATCAGGAGGAAGCTGATCTCTGATGGATGGTGGCTGCTGCCAGCACCAGGTCACCCCAGGACCCCCACAGCAATGCCAAGTTCCCCTGCAGTTCTGCACAAAGCTGGTGGCCCCATGGAAGTGGGCAAATTCCCTGTTCCCTGCAGAGCTGGGATGGAGAGAACCAAATCCCCTGGGGTTCAGGTGGGCACAGCCCTGTCCCACTCCCTGCCCGTCCATCTCCCAAACCCCACTGGTGAGCTGCTGGCTGCACTCGTGGCTTTATTCTTAGGGCAGATGGGATGAGCACAGAGCTCTGCCCAGCCTCGCTGTGCCACTCCTGCTGTGCACCAGGGGAGGATGCTTCTGGAGCTCAGCCCTTCAGGGTGAGATGGAGCCAGAGCGGGTTCTTGTTGCTGTTTTGGCTCCCTCCAATGTTTCCGTGGGGCCCTGGGAGTATTTGCTGAAGATAAGGCCGGAGTGTGTGCTCACAACACTCACACACAGCGTTATCTTCCGGAAACGAGGGATGGCCTTGGACCAGGAACGTCATATTTGTGAATGTCACGATGGTGAGGGAGCGCACCCAGCCTGGGCCGGCTCTGCTGCCACCGCCGGTGCCCAGGCAGGGGCAGCCACGGCTTCCCGCAGCCCCATTGTGCATCTGTCGGTGCCGGGCAGGATTGTCATCTTCTGAGTCAACCAAGCAGCACGAGGTGCTTCACCACATCCTGGCAGGTGACGTCAAAGCGCTTGGCTCCCGTCACGCCGCCGAGATGCTGTTTGGTGGGGGGCCGGCTGCCCCACGCCCTTCCCAGCAGGGTTTGGGCAGCAGCAGTGCTGGAGAGCTGGCTCCAGCACCCACGGCTGGCAAGCGAGTGCAGGGAGGTGCTGGCACTGATTTATCAGTTCAGCACAAAGCCTGCAAGAAACGATGAGCAGGTGCCACCCACTGTGTCCGGCCATGGGTGGGGCTGGGGCCCAGCTCCCGTGGAAGGTCAGCAGGAGCTGAGCTGCCAGGCTGCCTGTGCCCACCTCCCTCCATCCTGGGCACAGCCACAGATCCCTGGCAGCTCAGAAAGTAGTGCAGCACCCTGGCACTGCCACTGCCCAGGGCTCTGCCTTGTGCTGCAGGCACTGGGGGAGAGCTGGGGAAGGGAAAGGGGAGAAACAGGAGAGGGAGAGCTGGGGAGGGGCTGGGTGGGCAGAGACGTGCAGGTTCACTGGGGCTTGTGAACCTGGTGGGAAGGGCTGGGGAGGTGGTGGGGCTGGGAGAGGCTGCTTGGATGCAGCTGAAGCCTGGACATGGTGGGTGAGGGTAACAGCCCCAGGGTTTGGTGGGGGCTGCACCTCTGTGGCCAGAAAATGGGTGGGTGGGCAACCCAGGGGCTTTGCACGCAGGGACTTCAGTGCTTGGCAGGAGCCAGCTCGGGGTTGGAGCAGGGAGGTTTCCCCAGCCCCATGTCCATTGTTGGGGGGTGGCTGGGCGCTCCCTGCACCCCAGGGCAGTTCCCCAGGGCTGAGCCCACTCGGGTCCAGAGCTGTGGGACACTTGTGTGGAGAGCTTTGCCCTGCAGGATGTGCTGTCAGTACCTGGGCTGAAAGAGCAGCTCCCAGTGTAAGCAGCAGGTCTGGTACAGCCTCTGATGGCCTTGCCCTTGCTGTGAGCAGACCCTGCACTGCCCCCTGCAAGCCAAGGGAACAGGCAAGTTTGCTCAGGCTGGGATTAGTTGGATGATGCATGATAACACCAGAAAGGCCCTGCAGAAAGCTGCAGCTCTGCATCTCTCTGGGATGGCTCAGTTCCATCTTGGTGGACGCCCTTGAGGATTTTTCCTCCCTCCTCTCTCTGCCTGCTGAGGTGGTCTCAGGGTGAGCCTCAGGGGTGAGCTGGTGGGGGCCCCACTGTGCTGACCCCTGGGCTGTTTGGTGTGCTGGGGGCTTTGCAGGGCCCTGCTCCTGCTGGAACCCATGAGACACCAAGGCAAGACACACAGGCTTGATTTAAAATCTGCCCTGCTCCACTGCTGGGGCTCAGCACCCTCAGCATGCCCTGCCCAGAGCTGGCAGTGCTGGCATGGTGCAAGGAGGGTGCTGGGAATAAACTCTGCTGGGTGCTGCCCATCCATCCATACCTGGGGAGATGCTCCAGCCCCCAGGCAGGGTGCTGGGCTGTCCCCCCATGTCATGCCATGCCCCCAGAGTGGCGTTTGGGTGGCAGATGGGTTTGGATCTGCTCCTGGGCAGGGCTGTGGGTGCTGCTGGTGTTGACATGGCAGGGACAGAAACCCAACTCCTGCTGTGCCCCTGTGCCAGGACACGTCATGCCAGCAGGGCTGGGGGGGGTGAGGCTCCGCTCCCCACCTGCCTTTACCTGTCCCCAGGCTCCCAGGCAGAGATCCTGTAACGAGGCCGTGGCAGAGACAGAAACCCAACTCCTGCTGTGCCCCTGTGCCAGGACACGTCATGCCAGCAGGGCTGGGGGGGGTGAGGCTCCGCTCCCCACCTGCCTTTACCTGTCCCCAGGCTCCCAGGCAGAGATCCTGTAACAAGGAGCCCTTGTCTCCTCCACAATAGCCCCCTTCTGGCCGCAGCACCTGCCGCCCCGGGGCTCTGAAGGGCCTTTCTGTGTGGGGATGAATGGGAGCCTGTTCCCCTCCGGTGGGCTCCCACCTCCTGCTCGCCTGCCCACCCCCAGCCCAGTGCCCCCCCAGGGGCTGGGGCAGCTCAGCCTGGCCCCGTGGGGCTCAGGGCACCCCAAGTTGCTCAGGGTGGGCAGCGCCTGGTACTAGTGAAGGATCAGGGCATGCCCCAGCCACCCCCATGGCAGAGGGTGTCCCATGCACCCCGAGAACCTCCAGAGCCCAGTTGCAGATTGCTTCTCCAATAGGACAATTAAATGTGTCCTGCTGGCCTGTCCAGTTTATTCCAGCCCGGTGCTCTTGGGACTCAGGAGTGGTGGGATGGTGGGAAGAGCCAGGGGTGTCTCAGCAGGAGTCCCCCAAGGCTGCAGGCTGGGCTGGGTGTGATTTTTGGTTTATGGGAGTCCTGGAGGTGGGACCCACCAGAAGACGTACAAATCCTGCATTTTGCAAAACCTCATCTCTCCACTTGCAGATGGGCATGGGTGGGCACAGCAGTGGTGAGTAGGAGATAAATGGAGGGGTTGTGGTGCTGCCCTGTGGCTCTCATGGGGGGGGATGTCAGGGTGCTCAGTGTCACCTCCTCAGCTGAGCCCTCACTTGTCTTCTCCCAGCTTGCTGCAGCCGGGGCCGCTGGTCCTGGCTCCCTCAGGGACACCACAGGGAGCCAGCAGCCACAGGTGGGCTCTTGGAGGCAGCTTGGAGAGGTAAGGAGGGAGGATGCTCAGCCATCCTGGCAGGAGCTGGGAGGGCCCTGCCCACTGTGGGCTTCCCCAGTTCCCAAGGAATGGATTTTTAACTCTGCCATATGTTTCCCCCATCCCAGTGGGAATTCCTTCAAGCCCTCTGCTGAGCTGGAGGAGCCGGAGCCCAGCAGAAAGCAGGTAATCACTAGCACAGCACAGTGATGTCCATGGTACCCCTCTGTGCTGGGTTTTGTTGGTTGAAGGGCCGTGTGGGGAGGCTGAGGAGGAGCAGCATCCTCTGGAAGGGGTTTACAGAGGAGCAAGCTTGTCCATCCACACAAGAGGTTCTCCCCAGGCCTCCCTGCTGCATTGCCCAGTGTGGAGGCTGGAGGCAGCATCACCACCCCCATCCAACCCTGTGACTCCTGGGCCAGCAGTCCAGGCTGGAGACTCATGGGGATGGATCGGGCCCTGAGGAGAGCTGTTACTGTTGTGTTCTCACAGAGCAGAGCCCTTCAACAGGTTGCCCACACCTGAAGGTGCTGAATCTTTCTGCCCTCAGGTGACTCTAAGCCCTGGTTCTGCCAGCCCCACTGAGCTGGGTGCCAAAGGCTGTTCTGCAGCACAAAACCAAGGCACAAGGCAATGCCCTGCCTGGGTGACCCGGCAGAACATGTGATGGACAAGGAGCATTTCTGTCCCTGGGTTTGTTCTCACCTTGGTGCCTGCTGGGGGCTGGAGGTGTCACAGGGAAGGCAGAGCCAGGCTGCAGATTGAGCAGGGATCCTCCTTTCCTCCTTCCTCCCTCCCAGCCCAGCCCCTGCCTCCACTCTGTAATGGCCAGAGCAAATGCAGACCCCAAGTTTCGGGACATCTTCCGCTTCAACACCCCGGTGCTGATGTGGGACCAGCACTTCACCCTGGAGACCTGGGACAGGCTGAAGACTCGACATGTCCCCTATGGCTGGCAAGGCTTGTCCCTCGCAGGTACAGACTCAGCTGGGATCTGGGGCAGCTTGAGGGGACTGGGGAGCCCAGAAGGGACTGGAGATGTGGGACAAGGAGCCCTGCAGAGGAGCCAGGAATGTTGATCTCTTCCCACCCCACCTCCCGAGGCAGAGGGTGCGGCTCCTGCTGCATCTTGTGACATTTTCCCTGAATAAAAGCTCCAGTGTGTCTGTGATTATTAACTGGGGCCGGAGGAGCTCGGACAACCAGCTCCATTGTTGTGCATGCAGATTGTTTCCCTTCCCACCCCAAACCCACTCTCTGTTTTCCCTGGCAGCTGCCAGCTTCAATCCCTGGGCTGGGAAGCGCTGGGAACGGCGAGCAGGAGAGAACCAGTGGCATTTGCAGAGACATCACCAGGAGGGGATGTGGCCAGCACAGGCAGCAGCATCTGGAGATATCTGGGTGCATCTCTGTGCCTTGCACAGCCTTGGGTGGCCTCTGCTTGTAGCAGGGTTAGGAGCATGGGGAGATAAGAGATATGAGGAGGTGACACCAAGCTGGGAGAGGAGAGTCTGTGTGGTGCCCCCATATCCCACCTGCAGATCTCTCCTGCACGGGGGTGGTGTGAGTTTTCTTGGTGCTGCTCCTGGCTGTGCTGTGCACACGCTCACATGGGTTGGCACACACACCCTTTTTTTTTTTTTTTTCCCTGCTGACTGGTCTCATCCTGCTCCATTCCAGTGGTGGGCAGCACCCTGCAGCTCCTCAACGCCTCGGCCAACCGGCACCTCTTCGACAGGGCCGCCTTCTCCGGGGGCTGCGTGCGCTGTGCCGTGGTGGGCAACGGTGGCATCCTCAACGGCTCGCGGCAGGGCCAGGCCATCGACAGCCACCACCTGGTCTTCAGGTGAGGGTGAACGCCAGGCAGGATGGGGCCACGGGTGCTGGGAGGTGCCAGCCCTGGACACGTGTTCTCTGCTTTTCCTGCAGGCTCAACGGTGCCGTGATCAAGGGCTTCGAGGAGGATGTTGGCACCAAGGTCTCCTTCTACGGCTTCACGGTGAACACCATGAAGAACTCGCTCGTCTCCTATGAGGAGTATGGCTTCACCCAGATCCCCCAGGGCAAGGTGAGACCCTGAGGGCTTGTTGGGGACTTGAATTGAGTTGTTCCTTCAGGCTGGGCTTGCTTCTGAGACCTTCTCCCCATCTTGAGAGCCCTCAGTCCTTGCCTGCAAGCGTGGGCCGTGTCCCCAAACCCCCCTCCAAGTGCCCTGTGTGTGTCCCTGCTGCAGGACCTGAGGTACATCTTCATCCCCTCGGATCTCCGTGACTACGTCATGCTGAAATCAGCCATCCAGGGCAGCCCCGTGCCCGAGGGCTCGGACAAGGGCGACGAGTGAGTAGCTCCCCAAGATCCCCCCAGCACCCCCAGTGATGCAGGCATGACTCGCCTGTCCTCTCCCCACATCTGCCCCTCCGGGGATAAACCCCAAGGAGCTCCAGGACTCCCATAACAAAAGTTCTGCCCTTCTCCTTGCCTTGCTGCAGCCCACAGAAGTATTTTGGACCGGAGGCATCTGCGGAGAAGTTCAAGCTGCTGCATCCTGATTTCCTGCAGTACCTGACAGCGAGGTGAGGGTGATGAGCACTGTGGCTGCTGTCTGGCTCTGCTCCGGGCTGGACTCAGACCACCTCCTCCCCCTCTGCTCATTCCAGTACAGACCAGTAGCTGCCCAGCATCAAAGTGCAGTCCCAGTCTCCCCTAGACACTGGAACCACCCCTGCCCTGCTGTTTGCACACAGGGCATTGGCGTCTCTCCCCTGCCATTCCTGTTCACTGCAGCACAGCTCACATCCCCTCCTACACCTCCCTGTGCTCACCTTGCTCCCATTCCCCAAAACAAATTGCATTTTGTCCCAGTCTAACAGGAGCAAAGGTCCCAACAGGATGGTCTTTTCCTGCCTTTTGGGGTTGGGGTGGCTCCAAACAGCAGAGGTGCCTTTTACCAGCCTCTGAGCAAATGAGAGCAGCCATCAGAGAGCCCAGTGTTTCACGCAGTGCTCCTGCCTCACTGGGCACTGGTGGCACTGGAGAGGGCTGGGGCTGGGGGCTGCAGGGCTGTGCCAACCCCACAGCCACCGTGTCCCCGTCAGGTTCCTGCGGTCAGAGCTCCTCAACACCCAGTACAGCTCCCTGTACATGCCCAGCACCGGCGCCCTCATGCTCCTCACCGCGCTCCACACCTGCGACCAGGTAAGGGCCCACGGGGCCACTGCTCCCCTGGGGAGAAGGAAATCCCCCCTTTGGCTGCTGTGCGGTTCCAGTGTATCCTCGTGGCTGTCCTACATCTCCCCTGACCCTGAAGGGAGTGCTGTAGTGATGGACCACCCGAGGTGAAGCCTTGACCCTTCCTCTGTCTGCCCCACCTCCTTCCCCACAGGTGAGTGCCTACGGGTTCATCACGGACAACTACGAGCAGTTCTCAGACCACTACTACGAGGTGGAGAAGAAGCCTCTGGTGTTTTATGCCAACCACGACATGATGCTGGAGGCGGCGCTGTGGAGGAGCCTGCACCGCGCAGGGATCATCACCCTCTACCAGCGCTGAGGCCGGAGCTGCCCCACAGGGGCAAGTCCAAGGACTCTTGTGGCTCTTCTCCTTCCTCCTGAGGGTCACCTTCTCCCTCCTGAGGCCTCTTCCCAGCTGGCCCACGGAGCAGGCTTGCTGCACCACAGCCGGCAGTGATGTGAGGATAAGAGGGCAGCTGGTGCTGCTGGAGGAATGTTGCATCTCCTCAGGGATCAGTGTGGTTGAACATGGCCTTTGGGGCAGCCAGAAGCACCACAGCTGTGGCTGTGCCCTGCCAGCCCCGTGAATGTGGGTTTGGGGCAGCAGTGGCCCCTGTGGAGCACAGGAGGGGCAGGGTGATGCTGGAAGAGGATGCTGGAAAATGCCCTTCACCTTAAAATGGTCACCACCATGGTGGGACCACAGCAGGCAGGATAAACCCTTGCACTGGAGCTCAGGTGACAAGAGGTGACATGTCTGGAGAACACCTCTCTCCAGAAAGTCCCAGCTGTGTGTGGATGTGTGCCACGTTCCAGAAGGATCTGTTTGCCTCCCTGGTCAGTGGCACAGAGAGTAGGACAGACACACTGGGCCCTGTCACTGTCCCCTTCCTGAGGTCTGGTGTTTTCTGACAAGGAAGGGGCTCAAAAGCCACCAGCTACAAGGAGGGTCACAGCAGCTCAGCCTTTCTTGAGGTCTGGTGTTTTCTGACAAGGGGCTCAAAAGCCACCAGCTACAAGGAGGGTCACAGCAGCTCAGCCAGGACACCAGGAACACATCCAGGCTCTGAGCCCAGAGGTGGCACTGGCCTCAGCCATGTGTGGCACTGGCCTTGTCAGCCTTTTCTTGCCCAGGGACTCCCTGGTGCCTCTGAGAGGCAGCCCCACACCAGGTGGGTCAAAGTGATGGTCACTCTTAATTTCCTTCCCCAAACCCCAGGGGAGGGGAGGGTCCTGAACCCTCCAGATGTCCCTCACCCACCAGCACTGCTCAGGGAGACCCAGCTGGGGCAGCTTCTCCAGCTGGTGGGGGCTGCAGACAGAGCAGTGTAATCCAAGACACTTTCCCACTTTGTGTAATTACATAAATGTTGAATGATTGTTTTCCTTAACACCTGTTTCTGTTGTTTTGATGAACTGGGTGGGGTGAGACCCCCGTTTACCTCCCACAGCAGAGGAGCAGTAACAGGGATAGAGACTTCAACTGGGCAACAGCAGGTAGGGATGGAAAGCAGTTTAAATCATGGAGACTGAAGGCTCTAAGCTCTGAGCACAGCCCTCTTCCACTTGGAATGCTATTTACTGTGTGAGGTTGGTGTACAGAGATGACAAAAGATACCCTGGCCCTGAGCCAGGGAACCTCCAAACCCCCTGAAGCTCCAGCAGGCTGCTTCCAGCTGGTTCAGACACAGGTTAGGCTCCAAGCCTGTTCCAGATGTAATCTCTAGCTTGGGGCCCATCTTGTGTTCCCACGTCTCAAATTAACCTTTGTTCCCATCAGAGCCACCTCACACTGGTACCACAGCAGCCTGTCAGGCCTGTTTGGTGTTCCCAAACACTCAGCAAAACCTTTCATGACACGAATGAGCCTGATCCTCACATCTCCCAGCCAAGACACCCTGAAACCTCCTCAAACCAGCTCTGGCCCAGCCTCAGGTGACATCAGCAGCAGTGTGACACTCGGGGCAAGGTGAGCAGGATGGGGCTGTCGTGGTGCTGCAATCCTGCCTGGAATCACCCAGTTCACAGGAACTAAACAGTGAGAACCACAACGAGCACCTTCCTTCCTTTCCCCTTTCAAAAAGGGACATTCCCAGCCAAGGGTGGAGCTGGAGTTAACTCATTTCAAAGACTTATTCATGGCTGTATTCCCAAGAACACCACAAGAACCATTTGGCACCAGACCTCAGCCATAAGTTGGTTTTGTCACACTGTTCCCATGAATTACTTCTGGGACACTGCATCTGCAGACACTGAACTCTTTGTTATCAGGTTCCTATGAAGGGTAAACTCACAACAGCCATTTCAGGAAGGGTTTTAATCCAAATCCTTCATATCAGCACAAAACCATTTCTGTCCAAGAAGAATCAGAATCATTACAGTTAGAAAACACCTTTAAGAGCATGCACTCCAACCTTTACAGAAATAACCAAATAAAACCCAACTTTGACTCGTTAGATTTTCCACAACTTATTTTATTCTGGAACAGAAGAAAGCAGGGAACCACTTTTTCCTCCAGCCAACTGTAGATCAGGTCCTGGTGAAAAAAAAACCCAAAAAACCACGGTATCAGAGCAGCTGAAAGTTCCTGGTTTGCACTATTTAATGTGGAGTACAGATCTCAGCAGACAAAACCTTGCTCCCACCCAGACCAATGGCACTAGTACCCAAATTCTTTTTGGATTTAGTGGTCTCTTACCATGGTGTGGCTGCAGCAACCACTGAGCAGTGAGGAGGAGCCTGTGGCTACACACAGGTGGCCATTTCACATGACAAATCAGCAGTCATTTGTGGCATCCAGTCCGGAACAATCTTCCTCCCAGATCTGTGGGAAACCACAAACCAAGGCTGTAACTGTTCTCCTAAAAAAGTCCATTCTGAAACAATTCCTGCCCTTCTGACCTCAAAGCACTGAGTAGCTTTTACTTGTCCCATTTATTATCAGGCTGCCTCTGCACTTTCTTTCCCCTTGGAAGTCAGAAGCTCCAGGTGCTTGTCCCAGGGCCTGATGCTGCCTGGGAGACAGCAGTGCCTGATTTGTGGTGCCATTCCCTCCCCTCTCACAGTGCTCCCTGTCACCAGCTCTGCTGGCCTGTCACAAGCTGTTATTGACCTTCTGCAAACAAAACTGAATTCTGTTCAATAAAGCGTAAAATCATTTAGCAGAAGGCAGCTGTCAGCTGCCCAAGACAAAGTGCTGCTCCAGCCTGTGTGTTCAGTGACTGTACATCAGGGAAGATAAAAAATGCATTTCTTATCTGCCCTTCAACCTGTCACTGTTTGCACAGGGAACTTGAAAGCTCCTTGCAGCTCTAAACTGTGCTATGACAACAGCAGCTCTGCAGCTGTGCCTGGGACTGCACCTGGCACAGGGTGGCAGGGCAGGGGACAGATCCTGTCACACTGGTGCCACTCACACCTCTGGACTCTCTGCAAGGGGCAGGGGACCCACAAAGGGAAGTACCTGAGCCTCAGTGGACATTTTCCTCCTCAAGCTGAGTGTCAGACAGGGATAACACACATCACAGGCTCAGTGTCTGTCCCACCCCAGGCTACACAAACCCCTCATGTTCCCCAAAACCACACACAGCACAGATACACAGCTGTTCTCCCTGGGATTTCTCCTGATAAACCTTCAGAGATTAGGCTCACCAGGTGACTCAATGTGCCTACAGGGCTGGCATGTAATTAATGAATTAAAAACAAACACACAATACTGAAGAATTCAATTTTCTTACCAACCTGAAGCCCAACACAGCAGCTGCCCTCTGGCCAAAGCTGCCTTTGGGCAAGAGCAGCTCCAGGATTCTGCAGGACCATTTCCTCCTAAATACAAGTTGCAATGAACACTGTTAGCAAAAGTACTTTAAATAAAGTCACCTCTCTTCCCCTCACTTCTCCTGAGAAAAAACCCAGCACTGGATCACAGAGCAAGAATTAAACAGAAATTCACCATTCAAAGACAGGCAACTTTTGTCTCACAAACTTAGCAGAGCAGAAAGCTGTCCCCCAAGACACAGAGGAGCACGTTTGCCAGGGGGCTGTCTCATTCACAGACAAGAAACTTTGGGAGGTGGATGCTATTTAAATCTTTGTTTAGGGAAAAACCCCACCAGCCCTGAGACATTGGTGGTTTAGACCCTTTTAAGATGTTTCAACTTTACTTTCTCCTCATCTTCCAGAAACCTCCCAGTCCAACTCGTTCCTTGCACCCAAGAATAATCCACCCATGGTGCAATTTGGGTTTATCCCAAGAAATGCATTCCTCAGCCCTAGGACAGCCACATCCCCTCAGGTGACAGGTTCCTCAGGGTGTGTCACTCACAGGATGACCCTTTGGGGCAGGTGAGCTGCACCTCCCCACCCCCAGCAACCTGATGAAAGCCTGAAACTGTCCCAGAGCACCTCCAGGCAGGCAAACAGAGCAATTATTCTGTCACTAGGTCTGTTTCTGAGACAGATACAGTTATGAGATGAGCTGTGTCAGGTGTCTCCATAATGGGCTGTCATCTAATCCCTCCTACCCCTAATCCTTCTGCTCTGGCTCATCTCTGACCGTGCTGACAAGCAGGTGCTCTGCTGGGCACCAACACCACTGAAATTCCCATTCAATCCACGCTGCTTTTCAGCTTGTGCTCTGTGCCAGCCAAGGGCAGCACACTCGGCTGGCAGCTGTGACAAAGCTACAGCCTTTATTGGCTTAATTACATCCATCAATGTAATTAAGCCAATAAAGCTTTTATATCTTTTATATCCCCTCCCAGGAGCCCCAGGAATTCAGGAGGGTATAATTTGAGACAGCAGTGAGGCTTTCTCCCATAACCCTAGAGGAGAAAAAGAAAACCAGACTGTGCCAAGCCAGATGCTGCTGTTTCTCACCATTGTGAAGGTGCACTGTGGGTGAATCAGCTCCCCAGTCAGGGGAGTGTTTTTACCCCTTCTTGACACGGTGTCATGCTCTGAAACCGAGAAAGGGGACAGAGTTAGTTCAGGTACCAAATCATCCCTTCACCTTTGTGTCTCTAACACTGAGCCTCAGAGTTACACTTCCACAGAGGCAAGATCCAATTCAGACAGGGATAACTTTTATCATCACTAGCTCAGCTTCCAGAAGAGATAAAGAGCAGAGGGCCATCCCACATCGCAGATCTGTTTCTGCCCTCGTGGCTGTCACCTCCTCACCCGGGCAGCACCAATGGCAGCGGCTACACCCGGCCGCACCGGCGGGGTCTCGGCCCGCTGAACGCCCGCCTCGGGGTGCTGGGACACGGCCCCGGCTGAGCCGCACCCCCAAAACGCTGAGCACGGCTCGGCCAGCCCGCGGTTCCTGGCGCAGCCCCGTCACAGCAGGGCCGGAGCCCGCAGGGCCCAGAGCCCCGGCCTCGCTCTCTCCGTCCACCATGGCGGGGAGAGGGGCCACCATCACGCCGCCCCCATGCAGCCCACAGCCCTCGCCGAAGCCCTACTGGCAGTTCCGGCAGCTTACGGGAGATCCCCACACACCATCCGGCCGTCCCCGCGCCCCTCGAGGCCGCCGTGCCCGCGGATGGCGGCGGATGGCGGCCCGGCCCACTCACCACACGCAGCACCGCCGCCATGCTGGCTCAGAGGCTGCAGAGAGAAGGGCGGCCGCGGGGGCTCATGGGAGCTGTAGTCCTGCTCCGTGAGGGCGCATGGGAGCTGTAGTCCGGCCCTGAGGAGCGCGGGGGCTGACGGGAAGTGTAGTCCCGTCCCTCAGGAGTGAAGCGCGCTCCTGGCCCCCCTCACCACACTCCTTAATGGCACTTACTAATTATTTATTGAATCTTCGTGTACTCTGTTCACTAGGGAGACACGTATAATTGTTCTTAGTAGGTCGAAGGCTTCAAAAGGCTGAATGTGCGTTAGCTCATGGAGGAAGGGGCTAATTAGCTGGAAATCAGGGATTAGTCAGAGATTAGTTAGTAAATGTATGTGCTGTGCTTTGAATGTCCGATGCTTCCAGGATGTTCTGTGATTGTCCTTTGCTGTTAAAAGGACATGGAATCCACAGGATCCTATTTAGCTTATACATGAAACTATAAATGAAATTATATGAAGCTATGGATGATTCCATTTAGCTTGTACATGAAGTCGGTGTGAACATTAACAAAGTGCAAACACAACCGAGGAGAAGAAACATAAAAACTGCTAATATCTACTTTCTTGCCCCAAAGGCTTATCCATCCTCGTGACAAAGAGCTCAAGTGAATGGGAATGGAGAGACAAAAAACCAGAATCTGAAATCAGCCAAGTCTGAGCACAGATGCCAACCCCAGTGCCACATTTCAGAAATGTCTGGGAACAGTGCAGGAAGTGCAGGATCTGTGGTCCCCTGGGGTGTTTGGAGCAGAGGTGTGCTCTTGAACTCTTTGCCCTCCAGAATGGCCCATGCTGTTTCTTAAAATTTCTTCTAAAAAGTCAACGGGCTGCAGGAGACTTTAAAAAAAAAAAAAAAAAAAAGTGCAAGAAGGCCGTAGAGAGATACCAAGGTGCTGTGATAAATAATCTGCTCCCAACAGCAGCAGCTGGCTGTGGTGTTCCCGTAGAGAGATAGGTGCTGTGATAAATAATCTGCTCCCAACAGCAGCAGCTGGCTGTGGTGTTCCCCAGCCCTCCATGTCCCCCCTGGGTGCAGAAACCCCAAATGTTCTCCTGGCTGGGAAGAGCAGAGTCCTGGGCTCTGACATGGGGACACAAGGGTCTCCCTGCCCCACAGGAGCCTGTGGGATGAGTGTTTGGCCTGGTAGGGAGGCAGATGATGGTACAGAACAGCAGTAATTAGCACAGCCTTCGTTGAAGCAGCCTTTGCTCCGTGAAGATTTGGCTGGCGATCTGCCTGGCTGCTTTTAGCATCCTAAAAAAGCAAAGATAACCCATCTAATTCAACTAGAATTAGCCCTTCAAGGCCCCAAGGGAGGCAGGTTTTAAAAAATAAAACTAGTAAAATCCCCCTTAAGCAGAGTTCAGATCCCAGAAGGAGAGAAGATGTGACTTGGATGTGCTGAGGGATTTGCCACTCTTGATTTTTGGGTGGAAGCTGCTCAGCCCACAGAGCCTGTTGTGCCTATAAAAGGATAAGCTCTGCCAGGTACCAAGTAATGAATGGACTCAACAATTAAAACTCAGGAGGACAGCATGAGCTAAGGGTGCAGTGGATTTGATGTAATAATTCGTGTTTGCAGTGTGCAGATAATGGTTCCAAGGATATCCTGGAGTCAGAACAAAGACTCTGGGTGAAGAGGGATAGCCTCGCCCATGCCCACGCTTTCCTAATTCCCTGCAACTTTGCCTGTGTGGGAATTAATCGGATTTTCTCAGCTCTTCCCTTTAGAGGGCGGCCATGTCCCGCAGATCTCCAGCACAGAACCTTCCCCGGGAGCTGCAGGACAAGGCAGAGCCTCCCTGAGGTCACCGAGAGGCTTTTCTGAAGGTCTGTGACCTGTCCGAGATGTGAAGGAAGTCACAGCCTGGTCTGAGGGCTGTGTTTGAGCACACTGTCCTTCCTCAGGCAGCTGCAGTGCTGCTCCCAAGGGCAGCTTGGACATCTTTGGAGAGATTTCCTGTGGCCAGTCTCCATCAGTTGTGGTATTGTCTTGCTCCAGTCTCTGAAAGGTTGGACAAGCAAGGAAAGCTATGAAAAGGGGATGTAGATCTTCCACACATGAACTTTTGGGGGCTGCTCTCGATTTCCCTGCAGAGGATTTGGAAGAGATTGCTTCCTCCCACAAATCAAATGAGAGATCAGTATCTGACAGAGGAGGGAAGGATGGAGAAACAAATGGAAATCAATGACAGAGCCACTCCATCTTCGGCTGGGCTTTGATCCCATGCTCAGATTAAAGGACAAGGTCATCTCTCCGTTTTCCACCCATTTCTTCTCTTAGCTGCCTGTAAATCCCTCGAGGGAGAAACTCTCCATGCTTATTGGCAGTAATTTGATTTCCTCCTGATTTCCCCTCTGCCTGCCCTGGTCCCACCCTGCAGACAGGGCTCCACAAAGCCTGGAGAAACAAAACATCTGGGCCTTCAGAGATGCTTTGCTGTGGTTATCTTTGACACGTGGCTGGGGGGAAGCAGCCATTTGAACCCATTAAAGGCAGATCCCCCCTGGAAGACCCCAGCCCCTGCCAGGCTTCAGTGCACAGAGCACGAGGAGATGCTGAGGTGCAGGGATTGATGCTTCTTTCTGTCAAAATACTGGGTTCCCAACAAAAAAACAGTCCCTTTGGGTAAGGCTGGAGATTGCTTGCTGGTGTTTCAGGTGCCAGACTTCCAAGAGAAAAGATCTATACTATTAAAAAAATATAAATCCTGCCACAAGGTCCTAAATCCTGGTGTCAGTTGCTTCAAATCAGCCCCCTGAAATGGCAGAAAGGCTCTTTGGAGCTCAGCAGCAGACAAGCAATGTCTTCCCACACAGGACAAGGCACACTGCAAACAAAACATCCTTCCCTGCTCCTGGCAGCAAAGCTCTTAAGCCTTCATTTAATATTAAATACACATTTAAACCTAAGCCCATTTCTCAGCATGTCTCGTGTGCTTATGTAGAACTTCAGCAGGCTCAGGAATGCTCTGCTGTAACTGGAGGCCTGTGCACTGAATAACAAGAGCTTTATGCTTACAGAATATCTCTGCAAACAAGGGATGGCTTCTCTGGGATGGATTCTGCAGGTTGAGGAGAGAAAATGTTCCCCTTTCTCCTGATGGTGCAGAAGAAATTGCAGCTCTGACCATTCAGCTGTTCCTCCTGCTTCTTCCCCTGTTTCTCGACTGAGCTTTGGGCACAGTGCAATAAAGTCAGTCTCAAGGTTTTTGAGTGCAACACAGAATGGATCTTGAGGAGATTGTGTCAGTGGGATGGAGACAAGCTGATCAACACTTTTGATCCTTCAGGTCTGAGTCCCAGCCAGGCAGAGTGACCATCTTGTCAGAGGCAGCCAGATTCTGTTCCCAGCTCCTTGGGGGAGTGATCAGAACACAGAACACACACAAAATGTTCCAATGGCAGTGCATGCACAAATAAATCCTGGGGCCAGAGTGATGCATTTGTTGAACAGTAGCAGCAGCAGGACACCAGCTTCTTCATGGATGAGCATGTTTAATTGAAATATTGAAATTGAATTTAATTGAAATATACACCCTCTGAGCATACCCAGAGATGTGCACAGCTACACAAATGCTCCAAAGGTAGCAGGAAAACTTTAACATTGTAGAGCTACTGAGACCAGGAGAAAGATTTCCTTTTAGGCCAAGTTAGATGAGCAAAGAAAGGAGAGTTGTCCTTGCTTTGGGCAAAGAGATGGATCCTCTCTATTTTCTGTGTCAGCCTGAGCAATTACTGCTTGGTAAGCAGAAAGAGGGTGAGTTGGTATAAAAATACCCAGCTAATATGGATGGGAAACTTCTCAGGCCCTCTTTTATCACAGTGCTTCTGTTTGCTTGGATTACTTGGCCAACCAGCCATCAGTTCAGCCATCCCCATCTGCACTGTGCTGTAAGCAATATTTCATCTATCAGGCTCAGATACCAGAAATATGCTGGGCACACACAGAACAAACAAGAATTTTCTTGCAAGTAATTAGCATAAGCTGCACTGAGGTCAAGCAGTTGTGTCAGGGCACAATGCAAATCAACATTTCTTCCCGCTGCAGATGGAAAATGAAGAATTGCAAATGCCATATCTCCAGCTCACCTCTTGCTTCCCACCATTTATTCCAGAGGAAGGAGATAATTGTTTTGAGGTACTTTTCAGAATAGCATCTCTGCTGCTTTCACTGGTTAATGGGAAAAAACATGTTTAAATAATGAAAGGTCACATTATTTCAGGACCCTTTGGTTAATTTTTCTTGCCCTTGTGCAGGGAAAGCAGGCCAAATCCCTAATTTGATGAGGTCTGAAGGTAAGCTGAGGCTTTTCAAGATGACAGAGGACAGCTGGTTAAAGGACAGTGGTTGTTCCTCCTGCTGCCTGTAAAAAGGTTCCCTCAGAACAGTTTCCCAGTGACATCTGCTCGAAGGAGCCCTGCTGCAGGGCATCAGACCAAGGGCCACCCAGACTCATGTCATTTTTCCAAGAGATGTCCAAAATGAATGCCTAGGGAATGCAGGAGCAGTGATAACTTCCAGTACACCTCCCAGCACCTTTCCAGCCACCAGCCACTTGAGGGGTGCAGATTCTGAGAGCCAGAGGTCAGCTCACTGCCCCTGCTAAAGGGTCTTCTCTGGAACAGAGATTTCAGTAACTTTGTTTTCCATGAACTTGCTCAGTGAATCTGTAACGACCATTCCCTCCTGTGGGGAGGAGAGGGACCAGCTTCCCTTTGTTTGCTCCATGTCTGGCTCCTGATTTTGTTCTGTGGCCCCAAGTTCCTGCACAGGAAGAGACCATAAATGGCCTTTGCTGTCAGCCCTCACTGTAAGGGCAGAACTCGTGGATCTACTTATCCTGGCCTTGTCTTCAGGCTCACAAGAGTGATTTCTTCAGAATAGATCAAAGAGGGTAGTGTTGTTTTAAACCATTGTTCTCCTCCAGAATGTGATCTATCCACTTGCAGATGGCTTTTATGGTCTCTAAAGCCTTGCATGGATTAGCCTGAGTTTGACTGTGTAAACATT